GATGACGTGGATGGGATGGAATACCTCATATTCCATCCAGCCAAACCAGGACAATGGTCCAGGGCAACTGGCTCTAGGAGGCCCCGATGAACAGGTGGGTTTGACCAGATCATCTCCGGAGGCCCTTCCAAACTCAACCATTGTGTGATTTTAACAATCTCCGACTACATGTCTGTCATGAACTGCAGTACTAATGCTATACGATAGATCAGCCACAGGGCTGATTAATTACAGTGTCTCTGTGATCTAAATGGTCGCCTGTTCTGCGTTTGTACAGTCCATAGATAGAGCAGAGCTACCAAGCCAACTCATTTCCTTTCCCTCACACATTGGGGAAGAGATAGTATAGCCTATGCACTGCTATTTGCATTTGAGGAAGAAAACTTGTTATGGCATATTGTTATTAAAAAAAACATTTATTGCTAGCAAGAGGGTGATGAATATTAGAGAAAAAAATCACTAGCTGTAACAATGATTACCTGTATCGGCCAGGTTCACTGCTGAACTGATTCATGGTTTGACGGAAGCTACGGATGATATCATGCATACCAACTTGTGTGGTTGTGTAGTCATGGTAGAGCTGGGAATAGGCTGTGATACTCTCCTTAAAGCAGAATACAATATTTCCCATTAGTTCACCAATATATTAGATTCCAGAACTCTCCCAATTCTTCCTGTCTTTTCCTGAGACAACGCACCAGTCTAGATAAATCTGAAGTGAAATGAGTTTAGCCTACCAACACTAACAGCGCAGAGCTGAACTGCACTTGGGGAACTCGAAAGATATGATAGCAAAGGGCTGATTATTTTGGATCCCATCCTTCAAGAGGGAGAGTGCACCCGCAGCAGTAACCAACCGAGCCCGTCTGCAGCAGCGAGCACAGCAGGTGTTTTCCACCAGGCTGGAAAGATGGACAATGTTGTTGTGGTAACCTATAAAGGCAACAATACTTGTGGAGCTGAGCAGTTTTATGTGATCCCCAGCTCTGCAGGGGAACAGTGTCTTAGTGCAGGCACTGTCTGGGAACATCACCGAGTTCACTACCTCAGCAAAAGCAAATAGCATAAATAACAGGGTGCACGCTTCTGAACGTGTCTGGCCACCTCTCACTGCGACATACTGCCAATATGAGGGGTTTTTTGTTTACTCTTATTCCTACTAGCAATGTAGAAGAAATACATGCTAGTGACTGCTATGGAATCCCAAGCAGGCAACAGCTCTGAGCTTACCTCCTGTAGTGGGCTCCCCAAAGACAGCCAAACAACTATTAAAGCCACAAGACTGGTCTTTTTAGAATATAAATTGAAAAGCAAATTATTTTAAACAGAAAATTCAAATCATCAGTGTCAGAACAGAAATACAAAGTGTATATGGACAATTTTCCTCCCACCCACAGCACTCCTGCTCACAGGCATCTCGCCGACCTACACCCTCAGCCCAGGGGCTTCTTTCTTGTACGTGCTCCTTCTGCAGAGCGCCCAGGAGCCACCTGCCTCCCAAGGGACACGGCTGACCCAGTCTTCCTAAAGCCGCAATTAAGACCCCAAAGAGTAAACACAGACGCTCTCTTGCCCCAGCAGGAAATACAGGAAAAAAAGCAAAGACAGAATATATACGTTACAGGATTCTGGGACTTGTTCACTTGAGGCTCATCTCGGAGATGTGTTGCTTCTAAAAGAAATTTAGCAGCGCTGAAACTAAATCCATCGATTCCTTTGCCGAGCCAAAATTTGATAATGTCCTACACAAAGGCAAAAATTGACAAGTCCAAGTGAGCCTACCTCATTCAAAATACTATATACTTAAAAAGAAAACTAAACTTGTTAGGAGGCATTAATATGTAACAACATATTTTTTAATTTGTACTTTAAATTTTACTAGAAATTAAAGTGAATCATGTCAATCTAAGGTGAAACTAAGATGTGAATAGAGCATGTCGTCTTATTTCATCCAGTATAAAAAAAGGACTGATCTGTAATTTCTGCCATAATTCACCAGACCAAAGCCAGGGCATGCCTTGCTAAAAACTGTTTCTAATCTAACCTAATCCATCACAACAATTGGGTTTGTGCTAAGTGCTGCTGGTGGTGAACACCCATCATGGCTGCAGACAATTAGAACACATTGATTCAAATATGCAAGAATACGTTGTTCTACACTGACCTTGTGCCACCAATTTTCTTTTTATACAACAGAGCTCTTAAAACATTTTTTTCTCTCTTATTTGACTGATGTGAAATTTTTTATTTTATTTTCAGGCTTATTTGTTGATTTGCAGTAACAAAAAATTATTATCCAAGTTAACTGCTATCAATTTGTAATTTCACTATCAAATTCAGAGGTTAGTCACTATTAGTAAAATTATATCCTACTTCAGTAGCTATCATATGACTACAGTTTTAACTGCTCTAGTTTCAACAAACAACTCTAAAGTTCAGTCCCTCTTGAGTGGTTTCTGCAAATGTTCTTTTAGACCAGATACTTTTCTTCATCAGAAGACAAAAGCTTTTTTTAAGACAGCTATTGAATTGCCTTTTTAAAAAATGTATGAAGTACACTTGCCCGAATGGGCTGGAGTAGAACTAGTCCACACTCAAGCTTTACTGATTTTTGTTTGGCAAATAAAGACTCCGCCTTACTGAGCTGTACTTTCTTGTAGAGCCATTCTGAAAGCAGCAGCTCTCAATATGGTGTCTGTCCAATACTGAATCAACCAAAGATTAATTCATGCTTATGCGTGTGCTCATCGCAAACGCAACACCAGGTATCAGCAGTGCAAATATCAAGCACCGACATGGTACTCACTGAGACCGATCTACTTTTGTTTACTCAAGAAAAGTACAATACGCTGGCTCCTAAGTTTCATTGCTCTTGCATGCCCTGTGGCTAAACCAAAGACTTCAGCTTCTCTGGAAGAGTCCATTTGCTTCCTGCTCAGTTCTCTTAACCTTCTGAAACAGGACTTTGAATTAACGTACTAGACAAAGATTATTCTTTAATATGCTGGAGCAATTAATTACGTTCATAAGCATTCACCAAAGGTTGGTGTAACCAGGCCAAACTTAGTAGTTTTCATTTCACCTCCTTGCATAGGAAATGCAGCATCTATTTTCTACTGGAGCTTCAGTAAAGTATCAGGTACCATTAAAAAAATTAAATTAGCCAGGACCACTGAAAAGTACGTGCTATGCTAGGAAAAAAGGTGCAAGTGGCAAGACATGGCGTTAAGGGAAGTATCAAGACACAGAGAAGTTACTAATGGAGTCCTTCAAGGATCAGTCTCAAGAGCAGTCTCATTTCATGCTTTAATTAACAAGTATGACCAGAAGTGGTTTTGTTTCTTTATGCACGGCAGTACCCGCAGTGAGGGGAGAGGCCCCCCAGAGACAGTCAGACCGCCACAGTAGAGCTGGGCAGCTGTGAAGACTACCACCAAAGAAACGCACCAAAATCCAACAGTACAAAGCAGCAAACACTTAAGGACTAAGTCAAAACACTTGAAGTAGCCGTACTACCTGATGCGGTATAACTTTAAGAAAAAAAAAAAGAATAAAAAAATCAGCAATTGCCAGACTCCCATGTTCAGGCCTGCTTCCCCCTATTTTAATGAATTCTCCATTGTATGCTGGAGAGGCGATGCAGACAGGCAGGAGGGTCCATCAGAGCACCACCACCTTGCCTACCGTGATGGCTGTCCATCTGTCACTCGCCCCTGTAAAGGCATCAGAGATGGAGACAGATCGAAACTCACTATCTCCCCCTTATCCACAAGCCCAGGCATTCCTTGTAATTCAAATCAGCATTGCCTCGCTTTCTTGAAAATGCAAACATCTCTTTGCTACAACAAGGTGCCAGCCCCACAATTGACTGGCTAATTAACAGCTCCTTGTATCAACAGAGATAAAAACTTCTCTCCACTTGAGTGATTCAGCTCTGCTTTACCTTCCACGTCAATCCTTCCATTAATTGTTGTCCTTGATACAACACCCAAATGCGCTAAACTTCATCCTTGGCTCTTGACGGAGACCAGAGCTGAAAGCAGTTAGCTGCCTCCCGACAGCGGTCATGGTGGATTATTTGAGTACTAGCACCAACCTCAAAGCAGGTAACAGCAATCTTAGGACACAGAGGGAGAAGCACCTACGCCACTGTACAAAATTCTGCCCAGGCATCTTTTCTGTTCAATTCGTTTAATTCTGGCCATTCACATTTGAGAAGAACCTCAGGCTGGAAGCGCTGCAAGGAGTGAGGAGCAGCTAAACAAAGGGATGGAGAGTCTCTCACTTCACGGAAGATCAGAAAAGCCCACCTCATTTAATCTACCTTAACAAAAGCTGAAGGGGGATGTCGTCAGAGCTGAAAAATAAATAAGCACAAACAGGGGTGGGAAAAGCTATTTCAGCTGAAGGACAGGTTTGATTCATAGAGCGCCAAGTATGAACAGTTTGCCACTTATTAAGGTTGGGCTGAAAAGCAGAGGGCTCCTGAAGCAACAAAGCAATTTTAAGATAGCCTTTAGAGGGAAGAGAAAGGGGAAGGATGCTCCTTTTAAAGTGCAATAGCCTGTTCCAAAAAACTATCAAGATCTTGTCAGGCACTTGTGAGAGAAGGGAACTTAAGCCAGCAAAAAAAAGGAATAGTCTTACCTTCTCAAAATCCAGAGGACTGCAACACCACCCACTGCCAGTACTTCCACTCAAGGACAATTTTATTTGGATTTTTTTTTTTTGGGTTGCTTATTTGCTTTTAAATTAAAAAGATTTGAAGCATAGTAGCTCTGATACTGGAAGCATTACAGCATAAAGCTCAAGTTTTGCTTATAAACTTAATGTTTGTCTAGACACCTTTTTGTTTCAATTGTTTACATACTCTGCAGTGCTTGAATTACTTCCAACTAGACTGTAAATTGTGTAGCACACATAATCAGAGAAACTAAGTGTAGAAATAGCTGCTTTACTGGTGGTGCAGCAGCAGTGGGTTACATACTTACATGGATCTCTTGTTGGACAGCAAGGTTGTAAAAATTTAAGTCTGGCTGTTCTTTCCCAAACTGATGCAAATAACATTGCTTTCTCACATCATCAAACTGCCAGCTGGAGTTCCCAAAGACACTCACCTGTTCATGTAAGGGAGGGGGATAATCAGAACTCCTAATTTAACAAACATTCACTCTTATGCACACTTTAAGATGTGGTGCATTACAAGCGTATAATAAAGCACAAAATGCCTAATCAATGGACTAAGTTTTGAGGAGATTTTGGTACTTATGTTTTACATTTCCTTCTCTCACTAGTTGCTCTCCCTTTAGCCATGTGTCACCACATGTATTTCTTGTTCAATGTTCTGTTCCACTTTTTTTTTAAGTAGACTTTCACTGCGAATTATTCAGAATAGAGGAAAACATGGGTCGGAACATTTCTTTTGGAATTGTTTTTCCTAAAACTTATTAAAAATAGCTTCAGTTAACTTAGAGCTTTCTGCAATCTGGTATTATCCCTTTGAAGCACCAACAACAGTCAGCATGGTAAAATGTTAACTTCATCTTCATCATCATCTCTGCAACAGAAGGTTCCAAAAGCTAAGATAGCTCTTTAGACTCTAAGTTTAAAGAGAAATTACACTAGCTGGTACAAAATATTAATTCCACCTCGAGATTTTAGAATATCCAAGTTCCTAATTATGCACCCATCAGTTCAAATTTCAACTAAATATATTTGAAATAGGCAACACAGTTCTAGCCTGAACACCTTTCAGAAAAAGGGAAAAAGCCAAGAACACACTGTTTTGTTCCCCCCCCCCCCCCGCAACTACGATTTCAGAGGAGCTGAGATGAAGTTTCTAGAGCGGAGTACCCAGATGAAGAAGGGGGCAGGTATGAACAACTTGTGAACAACTGTCCCTTTATGTGTTTGTTTAATGAGTAAAGATTTAACACTGAGGTAAAGAAACAAAAAAGTCACTTTTTAAATTCTGTTTGAAGTAGGAACTCCTCCCTCCCTGAGCTGGTTTAAATCTCAATCTGCTCTAGCTCATTTAGTAACATCAGTTTGTACCTCTCTCAACAGTCCTTTACAACCCGGTGTACGTTGGGACAATTATGTCATCCAGCTTGGGATTTGCACGTGTCCCCTCCCGTGCTTACCCAGTTGTTTGGAGGAATGACCGAACCAGCAGCCTGCGTGCAGTCCTGCCAGATGTAGTAGTCCGTGTACTTCCCAGTCCGATTGCGACTCAGCTGAAACCATCGGTGTTTGTCACTTGTGTGGTTTGGTACTAAATCCATTATCACCTTTAGCCCTTAAAAATCAAACCACAAAAACCCCATTAAATTCAGCCTTTTATGACAAGTTCACTTTTTTCCCTCAATGCAGTATCAGAAGTGTTTGGGCTTCTTCCATCCCAGAGGTCTGGCAAAGGAGAAAGGCAAAAAAAAACCCACAAAAAGAACCAGACTACCAACACAGACTAACTAGAGTCTGCAAGTAGCTGCAACACATCTTGCTGGTACTGTTCTCCCCAGCCCACTGCTGGGGAAGGAAAGAAGGGGGAAGAAAAAAAAAATCAGAACAGATTTCTGCTGCTTTGAACCACCTCCACTAACGCTGACTTCAACATCTGTCTCCTGCCTCCCAGGTGGGAAACGCACTTCACCAGTCTACCATCAGGGAACACACGTTCGCCCTCACCCTTCCTGAAGGCTAGACATTTTTTGAAAGCCCAGATGTTTTTGGGACTGGCAAACCAGCGTCCCTTCAGCCCAACAGCTCTAAGGGATGCAATCGCAGGAAGGAAGTGCATGTTCCCTCCCAACCCTGTAATTGTTTTCCTGCTTTCTTCAGAAAGCAGCCATCAGTCATAAAATTCAGCCAGAAACAACTGCATCTCAGCCTCAACCCCCCAATGCATGCCTGTACCATATGCACCAGGGAGCACGGACAGTACGTCAGCCCCCCACCCATGAACAACCTCGGAGGGGACCATGCCTTGCAGAGGACGTACAGCAGCCCAACGCTGCTGTTGTAGCTCCCCGTGACTTCGGTCCTGCGCCCAGCCCTACCCCAGCACCCAAGGGTGGGAAACGGCAATTACAGAGCTCACGTTGCTGTGGAGTCAATGCATATCCTTTGCTGGCACCTCCATCTGCTTCTGCCCAATGCCACCGCGGGGGAATTGCCAGATGCACAAATTGAAACCTCAGGCCATAACCTAGCGCCACAAGGTACACCTCTATAGTATGAGTGAATGTCTTCTTAACAGAGTTATTTTGCTCGGAGTTGCAGCTTACCTCTGTCATGGATGGCTGCAAGCAGATTCTCAAAATCGCTCATTGATCCAAACATGGGATCAATATCATAGAAGTCTTCAGCACCATATCCAAGGTCTTTTAAGGGGGACTTATAGAAAGAGGTGATCCAGATGGTTTTTATATTCAAATATGTAATATGGTCCAGTTTTTCTTGGATACCTATTTAAAAGAAAAGGGCATAATCTGTTTAGAAAAGACAAAATATCTGTGTTGAAATACATCTGCCATGGGCTCTCAAAGCTGGTACACAGGTCCCTTTGATAAGCAACCATCCCGTTCTCACTGATCTCAAGTAGCAGGGCAATCTTGACGTTTCTTCAGGGATAGCATGAGATCACAGAATGGAAACCGTTCAAAGCCAATTTTACAAGGAACATAAAGCAGGAATTAAAAAACCCAAAACAGATCAAATAAGATTTCTATTCTGTATTATAAAAAATATTTACATTTTCATTTAATAAATTTAACACTCACTTCTGAAGACAAGCTCCTGTATTTTGTTAAAATGCAGCAACAGCACTGCTTTCCGATTTCAAGGAACACCAATTAATGCTCAGACCACCCGAAAGGAAGCACAATTTTAACATATAGATCCCAGGTTTTCCCTGCCTTAGGAAAAGTCTCTTACGGGGTTTTTCTGTTCTTTTCTATAAGAAAACCTCACTCTAGCCTCCTTTAGTATATTTAAACCCAAATCTTTTCTATTTTCCTGACATGTTACTACTGGCATGCAACTATAGAAACAGTTTCTTGTCTTCACTTGACAGCAGTGTATTATAGCTAGCGCTTCTTGTTTAGAAATTTATTGTCCATTATGGTGTTGAGCCTTCCCTTTCTGAAATGTAGTCTCAGCTAAGCTACTGATAAGTGGCATTGCTTCTTGGTATCAGGTGCCCCTTCTCAATGCATTCCTAAGAGCTCAAAAACACCTAGACCATGAAGAAAACAAGGAGTAACACATCTTTCTCTCCTCTTTGTCAATTTTTCCTCACTTTTCCTTATGGAAAGGCAGCCAACCGAACATGACAAAGTGGTCAGCACCACCCGTCCTCCTGATTGACCTCAGCTTTGTGGAGATACTTTACTCTGATGGCAGCTGTGCTGCTGTTGCTCTCAGCCCCATCTCTAAACATCCATTCTACCTCCAGGCTTGGAACTAGCAACTTAAGCAAGCAACTCCTAGATTTATTCATGACAATGTAGGTCACCATTAATGATTAGTCAGAGAACTTTTCTTCCCTTCTCCATTAGGGTGGCTTTCCCTATTGGCCTGTATGGTGATTTTTTATTTTTTTTTTTAATATATCCATATATACACACAGAGACAACTGCTGCACAGCTTTGCACATACCAAGAGTTGAAATTCACCCACCTTTCAGATCCCCGTTCCCATCCATGTTGCTGTCCTTGAAGGAACGAGGATAGATCTGATAAATAGGACTAGCCTGCCACCAGTCAAGGCACTTTGGAGAGAGCGCAATAATCGTAATCGTAGCACACACAAGCATGATGGCAGCAGCAATTATGAGCCAGAAGAGAATCTCCCTGGTGACTCTGTACCGGGCTTGGCTGGAGAACTTCAGCAAGACTTCCTTTGGCATCCCCGCATACGGCTTCAACACCAGCTCCTCCGTAGCTGCTGGGTCCACATCAACAACGCATGTTTTTGGCATTTCTTCTTGGGTACTGGTATCGGTCTCCTTGTCATCAAAAACCTCATTTTGAACAAATCCGTTGTTCTCCACACCTTCCTTCTCGCTCAGCTCCATAGGTAAGCTCTTGGCTTCCTCCTCCACCATTTTACTTCATGGGTCTTGTCCTGGAGACTCCAGCCACAGCAAGGAACTGTTGCCAACACACCTTTGTTCCGTGAAATGAGAAGCAGTGTAATTAGCATCTGGGTTTATCATCAATCCTGACCAACTGGTCAAAGTTCAAAAAGGGACAAAAAGGGCAAAGTGCTCCTGCTTTTCCACATAATAGGCATCTTTAGCAAGGCAACAAAACACTACAAGAAGGCGCAGTCTTCCAGGGAGGTAAGCCTATTGCTTGTACCAGCCGAGCAGAGTTATGTTTACTGTTGCTCTTTCCAGTACACCAAACTTCTCTCCTTTTTGACAGCAGTGGAAAATCTAGGGGTTTTTTTACCAGTAAAAGATTTAGTAAATATGCAGCTTTCCAGACTGGTTATGGTCTCCCTTGCCTAAAGCAGTCTGAACATTAATGAGTAATTTAAGCACGGACAAGAAGAGAACGAGGTGTTGACAACTTGTGGCCCAAAAAGCAGCAATACAAACTAACTAAGAAAAGACACAAAGGCTGGTTGCTCTTCCTTTCTCACAGCTTAGAAAAACAAAACCCCCCAAAGTAACCCCACCCAGCCCACCCACAGCTCTGAAGCAGCAACACCGATAACACACATACCAACCCTGCGACCCACAGTGCCTGTCAGGTTGCTACACCCAGAGCTGTCCCCAGGTCAGGATCTCTCTGCACAGACACAAGCAAGACTCAAGACAGAAAAACACACTGCTCGCTATTAAAGTCTCTCCTTTTTTTTTTTAAATATGTTTAAAAGAAAGCGACCTTTTCCTTCTCCCTCTTTCCCCCCTTTCTACTGCTCTAGACAGGAAAAAAAAGCATTGCCCAAAGCCTGCACAGATTTACACATCTGCCCTGAAGCCAGTGAGCCCACACCCTGCATCTGCCAAGACAGCCCCTCCAGCCAATGCCCTCGGTGTTTCCTTTGGTATGCCTGGGCAAAGCAATACAGATTTGCCAAGGACCTGCCTTATCACATCCAAAAGCAAACACCTGCCCAGGACCACAGGGTCAGGGTCCCAGGGAAACTCCCATGGGCAACTGCAGTGGAGAACAGGTTGGGTTAGGCCTCAAAAAGTATTTATTGTGTTTGCCTCAAACCATGGAAGAAGTTTATAAGCTAATGACTGAAAAAAATCCAGCATATGATATTCAAATAATTTAAAAAATGTGTTATTTCTTCAGTAGCTGAGCTAAGAAGAGGTCTTTTTCTCTGACGGATCTAATCCTTTTCTTCCCCTTCCTCACAGCAGTGCCTGGCAGCAACCTCAGACCGTGCAGTCAGGTCCTTGACAGAGCATTTGAGATAGCAGTGGTTTCAGTGCCTGTGATTCACCATTGCTGGGAAATGCAGAAGTGAAAATTATTTGAAACAGTCCCCCATCTAATGACTCTACAGTCTTAATATCACCATATCAGCAAGTTGTAAAAGTCTCCAGGCAGGCATGGTGCACTACTCAGGGCATAAGCTTGTATTCAGTACAATGCCAATCACTCCCACCCCATTTAAATTGTTTCATTTCAACGATTTTATTTCCAATTAAAATAGGAAATATGTAAATACAGAAAAATTTTTAGATTGCATCACACATGTCTTAAGACCTTAGTACTCCCCACCTTGCTTTTTCCCCAAACTCAGAGCTTTAAACATGCCCATGTCTTCCTGCACTACCCAAAAGCACCTTCAAGCACAGGGGAAAGCAAAGGGAGTCAGATGCCAAGACCAAAGGACGACCAGAACGCAAGTGCCTGCCACGGACACGTGGGTCAGCCAAGCCAACGGGACTTGGGATGGTTGGGCAACAGGGAGGGCTTGGTGTTGGGGCCGGGGAAGTCCAGGAACAGACTCACAGCACCCTCAGTTGTTTGGCTGGGGTTTTTTGGTTGCTTGTTTTGCCTTTTCCCC